CCTTAGGCAAACGAGTCAGGGTTTAAAGGAGGCCTAGGAAATCAGACTAAGGTTCTTAGGAAAGCTCACTTGTAAAAAGATACAACACACATCCACAAAAAATAGGCAGCAAAAATATTTCTTCATCGATTGATCAAAAGAAGCCAAATATGTATATACAGGAGAGTGAAGTTTGCAGGCCAATCAAACTTGGTGGCCGAGAAAAAATTCAGACATGGGTTGTATTGATTCTCTAATGTTTGAACCCTAGCGAGTTTTATCCAAACTAAATAAATCAGCTCACAAAGAAAAAAGCCATCTTTGCAGCCCATAAAAATTCAAGAAGAACACAAAAACAATAATATAGTTTAATTTAAAACTCTTAATTTTCCTTTGCAAGACCTAAGCTACAGTTGTTTGCTGAGTTTTTTTTTCAAGTTGGTTTAGGCATATTATCAAACACATGGTGAACAATATATGGAAGCCAAAACATCTCAATCTCTTAGTCAAAGATGTTTACAAATACATGGTGGATAAAGCATCTCATACCCCCCCAAAAAAAATAGAGTATCAATAAAATAAGGCCATGGAATCTCATAAAAAAAACAACACAGCATCAATAAAATAAGGCCATGAATGTATAATAACATTAAATACAAGTAGGAGTAAGACAGGAACACCGAGACAGAGAGAGACAGAGAAGAGGAACATACCGGTTGTTTTGTTTGCTACAGATACAAATAGGACCGACATCAGCGGCAGAAAGTATATATATAAGGAAAATGTTTGAGTGGCCCTCTAGCATTGCTGTATATATAATCCTATTTCTCCTTATCAGCTCATAGTGGGTTTGTTTTTGTTGTCTCTTGCTTTCCCAAGAGGTAGAATCAAGACAAAGGATGCATGATTACTCTTTTATCCCGCAAACACCACTTGCATGCTTAAGTTTCTTCATTTCTATTAAAATGGATTATCTCAACCATTCTTTCTTCTCTAACCATATTGTGTTTTGGAAACTACAATCCTTCGTAAGCTTTTTTTTTTTTCTTCTTTTTTTTTTTTAAACTACGTTTATTAGTTTGTTATATGAGTTGTTATAATAGTTTTCATGTATAGTGTATTTTATTAGATAGTGTTTAAGTAATTTACAGAATAAATAATATTTTAAAAAGAAATAAATATTATCAAAATTGTTTGTTTAATAATCTTTGAGATGACGAATATATTTTGCATCAACAATGGTAGGTATCATGAAAAATCTTTCATGAAAATAATCATGAAAGTTTTGTGACCTTTGGATTACACTTAGAATAAAACACCACACACTAATCAAGGTAATCCAAGGATCATAAATTTTTCATGATCATTTTCATGAAAAAAATTTCATGATCCTTAACTTTTCCCTATTTTGCATAGATTTGAATATTGAAATCAAAAAATTTGTTCTAAAAATTAATTATTTTAGTTAATTTTTAGACTTTTTGCCCCAAACAAAAAAAAGCAGAAGAGTTGACGGGACTTCTGTGACTTGTAGCTAATTGCCAAAAACAAGTCTCAATATTATGAAACTCAGTTAGATTATTAGACAGAATGTATTTGTTACAAGGTATGGTGGTAATGAGTGCACTTCAACACAATCACCAAAACAAAATCAACAAAACTGGGAGTTTCTGAAAATTATATGCATATTTCCAATTCAACTGCAAACTAACTGGATATGGATCTCCCCATATACAAGTATTGACAACAGATTACTTTCTTTTTCCCAAGCAATACATCAAAATTTACACAACTGAGATCTAGTAAACAAGTGATTACATCGAAACATAACCCTATGCCTCAACACACATTACAAGGAAAACCAAAAATCTATCTCCTCCATTAATGCCACAAAAGCATAACCAAAAAAACAACGACGACGACAACAGCAACAACTATCTGTAGTTGTAAACCTTAGAATGTGAGTCCAGATCAGGTCTCCACCATTGATGAATTCCATGAGCTTCTTTGAAGTCTTGTGCAGGAATTAAATTAACTACCAGATTGGCTGAAGGAATGAGGTGTAGAGGCTCTTCTGACTCCTTCCCCATTGCGCTCATAAGAAGGCCCCTGAATGAATTCTGTGTGGCTAACCTCTCGACCTCTCCTGCTCCGATTTCCTCCATTTTCTTCCTGTGTTCAAAGTACCCAACGTACTCTGAGCAAATGTGATCCCCAGGATGGACAAATAGACATGGAACCCATGCAGACAAAGCTACAAATGGATCTTCTGATAAATTCTTCTGCTGTCGAGCCCTCAAAGCAACAGTGAGTCCTGCAGCGAGGAAACTGCTTGCAATCCGGATCCCATGCTTCACTTTCTCATCCTTGATTCTCTCAATTGGCGCGGACAAGTATGGCGGGTTAAAGAGAAAAGCTTCGAGAAAAACTCCCATCTTCGCCATAGTCTTTCCAGCAAGCATTGCCATGGCTGCTCCCAGGGAATGGCCAGCTAACCAGATATTCGAGTTTCCAAATTCAGCAACTGTGTTCCGCACAGCTTGCATGGCAATCTCGAACCGGGATGTCCGGTGCAGTCCATTTTTTATAATGTGGATGTCCATTTCGAGATCTCGTAAAAAAGCGTCTCCTTTGGTTAGGGTGCCTCGGAAGGCGATTACATAACGTGGACTTCCGTTTGTTAAGTGGTTGCAGTCACATGCTGATTTAAATTCATAGATGGCACCAAAGATGCAATGATCAGCATCATCCACAAGCTGACTATGTAATCGGAAATGGAATAACTCCCACCAAGGAGTAGCAAGAGCTTCAGGCCCTTGCCTATTCTCCTGGCGGTCCCGCTCTAATATGTAGACACCCTGAACCAAACAGGCAGCCACAGACCTTCGGTGATCCACATTTTTCCTGCACAAGATAGCACAATAATTAACGTCTCTGATTTCATTGTTCATATATAGCAGAAAGCATCATGGAATATACATCTATAACGAATCCAGCAGAAACAAGGTTTCATTTTTCATTTACAGATCATTTTTCAGTGCTGGAGGGAATCAATCAAACCGCAGAAAAATATAATGAAGCATCGAAATTGCATAGAAAGACATAATCAGCAGAAATTTCAATATAACTGAATTCTCAATCATTTGAACACGTGGATTCAGCCATCATCCTGCAAGGGTGATTTAGAAACTCTTAAGAACTTGGGCATGGCTATGTAGTGATTATACATATTTTGAGTCCCAAGGTAAAATATATGCTTAGTCATGCCTTTTAAGTTTGTTCGTGGATGTGACTTCTGAAAGAACGGAAGAAAATTAACGTCAATTAAACAATTCAAATTCAAAGTGATGATAAACGAGCATGGAAGCAGGTCTTCTTCAAAGGTAGAATAGGCTCAAAAGTCAATTAAAGAACATGGCCAACATGTCATGCCATACCAAATCCAAAAGTCAAATATGGAACCCAGCACCAATTTTAACAAAATATCTGTCAAAATTCCAAAGCCCCTAGGTAGAATCAGAACATGCACCAAACTCTCAGGGAAAAAAAACCCCACATGGCATTGCTCCAAACTGTCAGTTGATTTTGTTCAATGTGAGTTTTAAGGTAACATCAAGTAAGCTGTTCCAATGTCTCCCCAAGAAGAACAAGAAATCTTAGAGATGATTCTAGCATTAGCGTGAACAGAAGTTTGAATCCAATAAAATGACCTCAATATTTTGCATGACCGTTGGCATACACCTCCGAGTCCACCTCTCAAATTCTCTAATTTCCTTCAACCCCAAAAATGCTATAATAATGGGGGGAGAAAAGGACAAACCAGTCAACATCGGTTAGGTGCAAGGGACCTGTAAGGTTGAAATCTTCCCTTTCTGAGGTCATCACACCTTAGTCTTGATTCTCACTTCTGTATATCAGGAACTTTTCTGCACTGCAGAGGGAAAAAAAGAAAAAAAGAAAAATCAGTGAGCACTCATCAACAAACATGATATTCAACATGGATAGATATAAGCACATTGCTTCATGTGCAAAACTATACACATTATAAACCCCTCTCTACATGTGTTTATGAAGATGAACTGATGAAGAACTTGTCCATAAGAACATCCAACACCCAGCAAGTTCATAAATTGCTGAATAAGCCATCTCACAGCCTAATAACATTTGTCAATGGGAAAAAACCAAGATTAGCTAGAATGAATTTCTATTCTATTTATGGCATGCTCATTGAAATCAAGTCACAAACCGAGGGGTATGGCCAATATTTGGGCACTTTGATAGCTATGTGCTGTACTCTAATCCAAATTCTTCTAAAGCATTTTCTTTGCTACTAATTACAACAATTTCAAAACGTTGAATTGAGCCACAGTAACCAAACCAAATTTGAGAACACAGAGGCACTGACACAGATACAACAAACACATGAAGTTTGCTACAGAAAATCTTATTAAACCCCTGATGTTTTAAGATGTCATTCCTGCACCACCATTCTACGACAACTTCAGAGTAGTATGCAACACCAAAGTCATCTGAATTTCTAAATACATGGTTATACAATAAATGTGTGTATCAAAATCTGTCTATATGCAAGAAGAACAGAAAATAATATATTCAGATATATCATAAAACTATAATGTTTCATGTTCACGCGTATAGTCCTGGCCTTTAATAAGATACAAGGAATCAAAGGCTTCAGTATTGAGTATTTTAGGCTTGACCTGAAACTTGTGCACACAAAAGGTACTCAAGTCATAATCAGTTTTTCAAAAATGATCAAAAAAATTTCAAATCAGTGCATAAATTGAGATCGGCTTAAGTTGTAATCACACTTCACATGTTCAATTACGCAAGCAAACTACAGTTTCATATCTGAATGAACTTCCGTAGTTCCAAAAAAAAAAAAACGATGGGGCACCAACTGAAACTTAGGAAATACAAAAAGCCATCCAAGAAGGAAAATTATGCATGGGAGTTGCTGGCTGCCACCACTAGCTAGGACATAGATCTGTTACCCTAACAAATGTAAAGCAGTTTACTCTTTGAAATAAAAAAAATTTGCTAAGGAGGGACCTTAATGTTTAAGGACATGCTATGCAGATAGGTAACTATTGCTGAATGATGATTAGTCCAAAGTCTCAATAGAGTAATATTAAATTTCAAGCACCACATTCTTCATTTCCCCAACACCTTTAAAATCAATTTGAACTTACAAACTTCCCTCAATTTTTATACACTAAAGCTGTGTTTGGATCTAGGATTTGAACATAGATTTAAGAAGGGAAAAGAAAAGGAAAGGGAAAATGTCACAAAAATTTAGCTTCTATTTCATTGACTTTTCCGTTGTTTTTTCTTGTCCCTCTGCAATTCCCACCTTAAATCCTTGATTTAAACACAACCTTATATGGAATTTCAAATAATCTTGTCTTGAGCATAATGTGGCTTGTCCATTTCAAGTAAACATAGAGTTAGTTTTGATGAAAGTCTTAACATGTAACCCAATTTTGCAATGTTGAAAACTACTTTGGGGTCTCAAACCAAGATCAATAGCAACAATCACACCTACCACTATGTAAATCCATTAATCATCACTATAACCATTTGGGTCTGTCTACCAAAGTTAAAGAACAAAAGAAACCAAATCAAAGACAACTACTTTAACAACAATGCTTCGAATTACGGCACAAACATCACATACACACACAAACAAAGAAACAAAATTTCTTTAACTTGATTTATTCCTGAGAATTAGGGACGAAGAATAAGAAAATCATAATCTTAATCGGTAATAGCAATGTATTCATTCAATTCAATGGCTGGATCGAATTTTTCACAGCAACAGAAAATGAATGAAAGCTTTTCATTAAGCAAATTTTTAGTCATCGATTTTTAATATGTAAAAATGGCATATGCAAGTTGACGAATTTCAAAGAATTGCATTCGAGTCTGTAACATTTGAAGATCTTCAATATTAAAAAAAGAAAATCACCAATTCAGGATCAGATTAAAAGCAATATACATACATTATTATATGATTATATGAAAAGAAATGAAATTGAGTATTGCAGAAAAGAAATGTACCTTGAGAAAGTTACATATAGAGAGAGAGAGAGAGAGAGAGAGAGAGAGAGAG